CCGCCCCCCCCCCCCCCGCCGTCCCCCAATTCCTCCTTCCCCAGCCTGGTGGCTTCCTACCGGACTCCCATTTACGAGCCGACGCCGATCCACCCGGCCTTCTCGCACCCCCTGACTGCCGCCACCTACGGGAGTGGCCCCTACGGCGCTGCGCCCGGGGCGCCGCTCTACCCGTTTCCTCGCGCGGTCGGCGATTACTCGCACGCCCTCCTCCGCCACGACCCTCTGGGTAAGTCTCGCGACCAGCGGCCCGGGAAACGGGAGGGAGGGGGAAGCGCAGCCGAGGGCAGGCGCCTGGATCCGGCTAGCCGGCTCAGGCATAAGGGGGAAGCGGAGCGCCGCCCCTCTCTCCGCGGCTTTGGCAAGAGCCCGCCCGGCCTCCAGGTCCACGGGCTCGCCTGATTTCTGAGACCTCTGGCGCTCCGGAATCAGAGCCATTGCTCCGCCTTGGGGGCGATTCGCTGAGGGTCTTGAAACGTTTTCTTAAAAGGTGGCCGTAAAATAAGTCCTCAGATAAAGCGTTTTGTTTTGTTTTGTTTAAGTAGGAGTAACAAGCAACGCCCAGCCTGTTCCAAACCCCGCAGGAGCCCATCAGCTTCAGCGGTTTGTCACTTTTCACTTGCGCCCGCGAATGAAGTGCCGCCCGTCATTCCGGACTAATTCATCGGGGGGGGGGAGGCGTCGTCGTCAAGTAATCGGCATCCCAGCCCGCGAGTTGTGAGGCCGTCTGAACCGGAGCCAGCTTTGATAGCCCGTTGAAGACCAAAAGTGGCTCAGTTTATAATCCGGTGGACGGGAGTCCGGGCCTGGACAAGCAAATGCGCGCGAGGCTCTGCAGCCACGATCGCCTTGTCATTTGCTTGTCTGTGGTTTCAGCCGAGGGACGCGGTGACCTCTGAGCTGGTGAGAAACACGCAGAAAGCATAGTGCTGTTGTTTTTGCTTTATTTGGGCCACGAATAGTAACCGTCCAGCGAGTAGCGAGGCTCTGCTGGAGCGCTGAAGGTGGGTTATCTCGGCCTGGTTTTCCTTTCCAGCCGGCTCTTCTCCTGACGGCTTTGCTGGGAAATCGGCTTCGTTGAATGAGCAAATGAGTTGCGTCCCAAAACGTCCACCGCGCTCTTCCCCTGTCCGGGTTTCCTCGGAAG